GGAGTCAGACTGATCTCATTTCAACTCCCAGCTCCACTGTCTGCTAGCTGTGCGTTCCTGGGGATTATTTAGCCTTTTTGAGCCTTAGCTTCCTCATCTGTAAAATAAGATTAATAATACCTACTCTTGACCCCCCCCCCCCTTCTTATAAGTTCTGCCTACGTCTGAACAGTGCTATTTAGGAGGAGAGATCAAAACAGTCAAGGATGTATGTTGCTCCAGCTGTATCCTATCCCAGATCACCAAGGGAGTGACCGTTCAATGTTGCTCGCCCCTGGGTCTAACAGAGAGAACAGGACACACAGCTTGGTTTTACGACCACCCCTGGCTTGTATTAGAGTCAGTGGGGAAAGGAACAGCTCTATTATGGAGAAGCCCCCTTGAGCATACTACCATCAAGTTTTCATAATTATTTTCTTTGCGATGTCATCCCATTTTTACTTGCACAAAACTTTGCCAAACACCTGTGGACCTTTGCCCAATGAGGAAATAACTAGATCATGTGTGGCTCTGTCTCTTACTGCTCTTTTCTTCATTTGTGTGTGTGTGTGTGTGTGTGTGTGTGTGTGTGTGTTTCTTATTGCAGTGTCATTAACTCAGGGAAGGAGCCCTGTGGCAATGATATTGGAAGTGGAGCAAGGGAGTGCAACCTTACTTGAACTCTGGCTCCATTCTGTCATACTTTTTCCTTGGCTCAAACCATTTTGCAATCACTGGAATGTAAATCTTGTGGAGTTTCTCCCCCTTGTTTTGTCTTTCTCTCCACAAGGTCTTGGTGACTTCAGACATTCCACTTTTGCTAATAAGACCTAATACCCTCTCCAAAACAATAGATTCCCTCCTCTGATCAATACTTCCCTTTCAACACCTGCCTTTGCAAGTTGTTACAAGGATCTAATTGAGCCGATGCACGTGAAGTGCTCAGAACAAAGCCTAGTGCAGAGTAAATGATGTAATAAAGAGTTGGATATGCCACAAACAGCACAGAGTGCAGTTCTGATATTCACTTCCAATTCATCCCCATGAAGCAATGGGTCAAACCACTATCCAAATATATCTAATGGAATTATCCTGTTCTTTGGCTTAAATTCTCCATTATCCAGTCATCCTTCTGCCGTGCCAGAGCAGTCCGCACTGAAATATCAGAGGACCAATTACTAATATCAGGGAACTCCCTGCCTGCAGTTGCTCGAAGGACACACCTTAAATGAGAGTCCAGAACAGCTGTGCAACTGAAAAAAAAAAAAAAGTCATCCCGAAACATGCTCTGCAAAATGCCTACCATGGCATGAATGGCTTTTCTCTGTGTTTCTGTGAGAAAGTGAGCATCTTTCTCTCTCTCTCCCTGAACATCTTCTCTCTGCTCAATTGCCTCTCCTAAGGGAGTCAAAGGGAGCGTTATAGTCCTCTTTTAGTAGAAAGAAATTTCCAGACTGAGACTGTCTTCCATTGGGCAAGACCACAAGAATGATGACGCACCCAGTGATGTTCTGGATGTGTTCCTTGTCTCTGCAGAAGTCTGGAACGCTGCGATTTAACACTTTATGCATAATTGGGTATGTGCTGCATTAACTGCTGTGCAGTTGTAGGTTCTTTACAGTAATCCCCAAGCTAATGTCAGAGCCTCATTTCTTACCAACCTACTAGGAGTTTCCAGTTGAGCCAAATTCATCTGGACATTCTTTTTTTAGTGTCATGCTTTATTCCTTCATTCAGCACTTTTAATAACTGCTATTGTTAGCCAGTCACCGTCAAAATAAAACGATGAAGATAAGCAAAGCCTTTTTTAAAAAATCAATTTAAAGTTTGTTTTCAGCGTACGAGATCTTTTTCTGCTTCTCTGTACCAGGGGTTCAGTGGAAAACAGCTTGCTCTCCACCTCTGCAAAGGGTACTTACTGTCCTTACACTCCGTGGAGACTTCCAAAATTATTGTGCCCCTGAGTGAGCAGAGAACCCTTTTTAGCTCGTGCCTATGCCAATTAAAAACTTCAGGGTTATGGGTTACACACAGCAGAAATCAATTCTGAATGTCTCAAATTAAAACAAATAAATTCCTCTGAAGTCTATCAGGGAGACCCCAAATGGTAAAGTGAGTGAAGGATCGGGTTAGAACTCAGGAACAGCTGGGAGGAAAGAGTCCTAACATCCTTCTTTTAGCGGGAACCATTCACCGGTGGTGAAGTGAATGGCTTCCATGTGGGAAGTGAGGGGATGATCTCCCCCATACTCTACATGCAACAGAGGAGTCCTCCAAATATAGAAAGGAAAATTAGAAGCTGGACCACCAAAGAAATGACAAGGTCTCCTATACCAACCATGACTATATTGTGGTATCTTTTTAAAAATACCATTATTATTGCCTCCTGTTCCGTCATAGGGGCATTGTTCATTCTCATTAAATGGATCTAGAATTTGTTGCCAACTCTCTCCCCCAACTAAATTCTTTAAAAAAATTTTTTTAACGTTTAATTTTGAGAGAGAGAGAGCTTACGAGCGAGAGTGAGTCGGGGAGGGGTAGAGAGAGAGGGAGACACAGAATCTGAAGCCGGCTCCAGGCTCTGAGCTGTCAGCACAGAGCCCTGCGCGGAGCTGGAACTCAGGAACCTTGAGATCATGGCCTGAGCTGAAGCGGACGCTTAACCAACTGAGCCACCCAGGCGCCCTCCCCCGACTGAATTCTTTAAGCCAAGAACCCTTGTTATATTCTCTGCATAACCTCATAGCGACTCGCTTATAGCAGGTGCTTGTGAGGTGATTTACAACCTAATAAACACTGGGTGTTTATCTTATTGGCCCTTTTTCCAACATTTAGTGCTACCGATAGTGGGGAATTTGAGATTTCAGAACAAAATTCCAAGGCATTTTATAATTATTTGAAATTATGTCTATTTGACAACATATCCTGTGTTTACTTTTAAGCAGGAGGAGAGTGCTTATAATTAGAAACAATAGAACAATTAGGTATTAAATAAATCTTGCATCTGCTGTTTAGCCACTTGAGGGGAAACAATTTTCTAACAAGTAGCAATGGTCAAGGAAGCTATGAAATTTAGGCCAGTTGTCTCAGCAAAATAACTTATTAGTTGCTAAGCTACCAATCCTGAAAGGAACTCAATTAGGGCAGACAAACAGGCTTAACTAGGCCCGCTCCACTTGAGAGTAGAAAGTTGTAGCTGTCAGGTGATTCTGGTGGACGTGTGGCGGAAAAATGATTGACAAACTGGTCTTTGCTTGGTATGAAATTTGGCTTTGATTTAGTGAGAGACTGACAGGCTGGTGTCATCGGGAAATGTGGATTGTGTGTCGGAGGGGCTATTTGGCAACAAAGTGATTGACGCATTACAGAAATTGTCCCATAGATGGAGAAAACCAAATAGAGATTTGTTTTGACAAGCATTTCCTTTTTACCTGTTCCTTTTGTACACAGAGAAGATTGGGGGAAAGCCCTGATGAGCGCTAATTGATTTATCCAGTGGCTCTCAGAATGGCGTTGGCCACGGGGATACATGGAAAGAGCTTGGGAGGTGAGGAGGTGAGACGCAGGTATTCCTGTCCAAAGTCACCCATGACTGTGCTCTCCAGAGAAATTAACAGGGCAATTTGGGCTCCACTTTTGCATCTGCTAAGTGAGCGGCTTGAACTGAGACTATTTCCATGCCCCATTTATGTGATATTTACAAGTCTACATATTTTTTTTTTTTCGTGGACAAATATTATTTTGCCACATCTTCATTGTCATGCCACAGGCTATGGCTGGCCCGTCAGATCATCCCATCTCTTAAGCCGCCAAAGCTGGTTCATGGATGTGCGCATGACCCAAATTGTCCCAGGGGGACACAATCCTGGGGCGTATATAAGCCCCCTTTACACTGAGGCTGCTACGTTAATGGAGTCGAAGTCTGGGGGTGCTGGCAGCCATCTTTCCCGCCTCGTGTGAATGGGGTTGCCAGGTGAAATGCAGGATACCCCACCACAAATGAACTAATAACTTTAAAGCATAAGCGTATCCCAGATATTGCATGGAATATAAACTAAAAGTGTTTATTATTTGTTGTTTATCTGAAGTTGAAATGTGTCCTGAGTGTCCTATATTTTTATTTGCTGAACCTAGCAACCCTATATTTAAAAAAATAAACATAAGAAAACCTGCTTGGGAATGAAACCAGCACAAGCAACCGTGGGACCAAGAGGTGCAAAGAGCAATTCCTGGTGACATCATTCAAGTCCCTGGATCCAGCCACGCCCAAAGCTGGCTCTAGCCATGCTCTTCCCAGATGCAAAAGCAAAGCAAAAGCCTCGTCTTTCCCCTTTTGTTAAACTCATTGGAGCTTGGCTTCTTCCTCTCTAACAACCAGAGAGCTCCCTCACCTTCTCCCATTCCGTACTCTCCTCCCTCTTTAGCTGTTGGGTGAGGTCGCCATCAGAGGAAGCATTATTACATCTTGTTCAAGGTGAGGCATTTGCTGGGGGTGTGTCTTACTCCCATCAAAATGGTCATTTGTCTTCTTGAATTACGGTTAGTTTTTCTGGTGATTTCTTCTCCTCCTCCTCCTCCTCCTCTTCCTCCTCCTCCTCCTCCTCCTCCTCCTCCTCCTCCTTCTCCGCCTCCGCCTCCTTCACCCCCTCCCCCCCCTCCACCTCCGCCTTCTCCTTCTCCTCCTTCTCCTTCTCCTTCTTCTTCTTCTTATCATTATTTTAGAGAGGGGGTGAGAGAGAGAGAGCTCCAGCAGGGCACAGGGGCAGAGGGGTACAGAGAATCTTCAGCAGGCTCCACACTCAGTGCAGAGCCCATTGCAGGGCTCGATCCCACAACCCTGCTCTCATGACCTGAGCTGAAATCAAGAGTCAGACACGTAACTGACTGAGCCACCCAGGTGCCCCTTTCTGGTGGTTTCTATCCTTCTTCCTCCTCTAACTTTCTTGACCACTACCATTATTTTTCCTAAAATTAACAATTATAAGTTGCAATAATTTTTTTAAAGAAATGAGAAGCCGAAAGACAATTTCGAAATTTTTATTGTCATTTGTCACTAAAAACGTTGAATAAATAACTCTTCTTATTTCTTGCCTTTTGTCAAGGAAGTTGGCCAACCATCTTTCTGACCATGGAGTTATTTATGTTATTTCTAAGACACATTGTTTCAAAAAGGGTTTGAATCTGCTCTGAGCAGTAAAGATTTGGTTGTCTTATTAATCTGTGATTTTAGGGGGTAAGAACAGAAATCAATTTATTTAGCTGATGCAAAATGCCCATTTATCTTTTGTACAAGGGTAGGGGTATCTCAGAGAGACTAGGGTGTGAGCCAACCCTCCCAAGAGACGGGTTCAGTAAATAGAAAGCCATCGAGGTATATTTTCTCTCTCGCTCACTCTCCTTTCCTTTCCTTTCTACTTCACTTGCTTTGCTCTAGACTATAATCATGAAAGACAAGTTTCCTCTGAGCTACATCTGTTTGGTGGAAGATGGTCTCCCCAGCTGTTACATGACTCGGGTTCTGTGACCGTTCCCGGAAGACAGAATGTGATTGGCTGGCTCGAGTCATGTGTTCTTGCTCTGTCCAATAGAGGACAAATACACACAGCACAAAAGTGACTGCCAAGGGCCCATCCCCGTGGACTGCAGCCCCTTCCCAGAGTTAAGAGAACTTCGGTGAGCTGCCAGTGTGCTAGTTATTAACTTATTGTTTCTCAGCTCCAAATCCCTCACCTAAATCTGCTCTGTGGAGTAGGGGGGTGGGGCCCTGCAAATTACGTACCTTCTTGGCCAACTTGAGACAAAAGGATGTCTAAAAGAGAACTCCAGCTAAAGCCAGCCTGGCCAAGCTTGGCTGTGAGAACCAGGTGGGTAGTTCAGATGCCTAACACCGAGAATGCCATGCAGTCCCTTGAATTCCAGGTCTAGACTATAGTCCAAGTGCTCATCTATTGGCTACTGAGGATAATGGACTAAGAAGAGAAATTTTAAAAACCTCTTCTTTGAAGAAATCTATAAATATGAGCTCTTTAAATCATCCCAAAGCAACTCTAATGTCACCACATTTGAAGAATTTTAAGAAATCACTTCAGTAGGGTTTGTTTCGGAGGACTCTAAAGGCAAGAGAGGGACAGTTGCATTTGTAGCTTCAAGTGCTGTAGGAGTCAACACAAGGTAGATGATAGTGAAGACGAAAGCCCTTTGGGCAGAGGTTCCAGCTGTTGGCTGGCTAGGATAAAATCCTATCGGTGCCACACCATAGCCCTGCGAAGTTGAATAAGCAATGTAACCTTGACGTGTCTCTGTTTCTTCATCAGCAATGTTGAGCTTATGAGTGTAGCTGCCATATACAATTGTGAAGGTTGGATGGGGTGGTCCATTCAAAGTGGCCAGCTATCTTGACCTGGCAAGTCTTAGGCCTGTACTAAAGTAAGTACTCATTAAATGCCCACATTATCCTACTTATTCTTACTGGCCTTTTGGGTTTTGAGGTCCTTTGAATTTTATCCCAGAGGCTATGGGGGGGCCACTGGAATGGATTAAGCCATCCATACTAAATTCCATCTGTGCACTGAGTGACTAGGAACCCAGAGAAAAAAGAGAAAATTATGTGGACACCCTAAGCACAGAGCTCAACAAAGTGTGATGACTTTGGCCATAAGTGCTGCTTTATGGCTATCTGTAAAGCTGCCCATCAAAAAGCTCCTGACAAATGACCTGCAGTAATGAGAGTATGAAGGGAGCAGCCCTGCAGAACATTCCACCTGACGGGGACACAGATCATGGGAAGGGCATTCTCATAAAGCACAGGGTGGCTTTCTATTCTGTCCTCCTCCTGCTTATCCCCTGGCCCAGCCCCGTAACTTTGTGGCCTTGCCTCTCAGTTTCCAGCTCCCATTCATTCATTCATTCATTCGTGTTTTCATTTACCATGTATTCATTCAACTATCCATTCATCAATTTTTAAACAACTCATATAGCCAGTATTAGTAATCTTCTAATAACAGAAGATTAGATTTATTGGGCTCTTTCAATATGGTAGATTCCTTGATAAGTATAATAACACTAATAACAGCAGCAACATTTATTGAGCATTTACTCTGTGCCAAGCACCATGATAAACGTTATACATGAGTTATCTCATTCTATCTTCACAAAGTTGCCTAAGACAAGATGTTATTATTAACAATATTTTTGCAGGTTGGGAGAAATGTCTTAGAGAGTTTAGGTAAATTGTCCAAAGTCAGATAGCTAGTAAATTATAAAGCCAGGGTTCAAAATCATGTCTGTGTAATGTAACACATGTGCTCTTAGCCACTACCTGGGGCAGCCTCAACAGAGATAAAACTCCAGTGTTTATAATTCTTGCTCAGTAATTAATACATAGGGAAGGCGGTACTTGATGTGCGTTGTAAAGTGTGGACAGGGAGACGAGTAGGAAAATCATTTAAGAAGGTAAGGTATCCATTTGAAAACAACACACTAAACAAAATAGTGAAGCAGAAACCCATGGTATGACCCCATTTTCCCAGGATAACTCACTGAGAGGGTAGTAACCTGTCATCGATTTGACAAAACCAAAATTTGAGTTAGAAGCCCCTCTAATGAAAATGGCAGGAAATCCTGCTCAAAATGGTTGGAAGAATAATGTGATGTGTAAACTTGCATCACTGAAAAGGCCAGGGATGATGCTAGCTTCAGGAACACTTTGATGTAGTATCATCAAGGACCAGCTCTGTTCCTCTCCATATTTCCTTCTGCCTTCTACCTTCCGTGGTAGAAGCCATCACCTACTTCTTCAGGCCTCACACAGGTTCCTGTTGGCAGTTCCAAGGTCTTCCATGTTAGTAGTAAAGAGGCTGTTCACATCTTTATATCTTCACACTATGCGGACCACAGAAGGAGTGGCTCTCAAGGGGGAGAGAGACCCTTAGTTTTTCCCAGAAGCCCTGGAAAACTTCTACACAGGTTTCGTTTGTTCTGACTGGGTTTCTGCCATCATGAACCAAATCATGGTAGCCAGTAGGATGAGATGGCATAGAATAGGATAGGATTATTGGCTTTAGCCAGTCAGGGTCCATCCCATAAGCTGGCGCAAAGGTCAATACTGCAAAAACAACATGGCTGACCATGGGAGAGAATCGAACTCCAAGTGGTGTTATCTGAATAAGGAAGACAAATAGAAGTTAGATAGCAAAAACAACTGGAGTCCACTACACCAAACAATTCAATTACTTTGTTTTACGATTTAGTGCCCCAAAGTATCTTCCTGCAGCATATAGCAGCTCAGTTTAGGATTGCACCTAACTTAGAAATCTTGCTTTGCTCACTATCATCTTGGAAGCATTTTTTTTTTTTACACTAAATGCAGAAACATTTCTTTAACATGAGTAAATGTAGTATTTTTTTCTTCCCAAAGTGCTTCACAACTCCCAACTTTTTAAGTGCCTGGAGTAGGATTGTTGTCACTCCTCTCCTTTATACCAGCTTTGTCTCCTGCCTAAACAAAATGTTTCAAAATATGATATTTCAGTATTAAAACCAGATTAAACCCTGCGTTTCTGTACAGGAGGGGTATTTCTTTTGCAGTTCTTTCTATGTTGTTGATCAGACAAATGTGTTTGGCATGTGTAAATTGTTGTGATTGCTTTGCTTTTTGTGACATTTTGGGAAGGGGAAAAAAATCATGCTCAGTAGATGACACGGTTTGCTATAGCAGCAATATAAAAATTTGAAATTCTTAACCAATTTAGCATTTCCCCTTGCAGCCACACCATCTATCACAGAGAAGTGATATTCTGGGGGACGCAAGCCAATCAGAGGATTGGAGTGTAATTTTTACAAAACAAATGTATGTATAAATTATCACTCTCTTCTCTCCTCTCCATAAATAGCGACACTAATAGATCCAGAGCGTGAGATACGGGAAGGGATGCCTTGTTCTACAACAATTCATCTTGTCTGGGAAAAGCAGAGTTGAGAAATCCGATCAGTTAAGATGTATGGCTCAACCTGAACATTGTCCGGCATCTTCTGACTACGGTGTGGAAGGAATGTATGGTTTTTGCCTGGAAGAGAGAGTGTGGCCGGATGTGCGTGTGTGCGCGCATGTGTGTGCGTGTGTGTGTGAAGGGAGAGAGACTTACAGTCTAAGGCATGATTGAGCTACAACCATGTTTTACTTGGTTTGCACAGAATTTATAAAATTGAACACTTTTTAAAAATTATTTTCTAAAGATCTAGAGGTTTTTCCTAACAGGGAAAACAACAGAGTAGAATCCTATATGGATTTTGTAGAGAGGTTGCCTCCTCTTCACAGGGCATAAGCTCTCCAGTATGCCTCAGTCCCACCATTCCCCATTCCCTAGATCCAACCCATTCCATGTTGGAAGTTTCCTGGATACAACGGGCAGTTGAGTTCGTGGGCCTTAATCTAATGAGAGCCACAGGGCTCAGTAATCCAGTGACTTTTCAACCCTCTGTGCTTTTAAAATTTGTCCAAGACTGGGGCGCCTGGGGGGGCTTAGTCGGTTGAGCATCTGACTTCAGCTCAGGTCATGATCTCACAGTCCGTGGGTTCGAGCCCTGCGTCGGGCTCTGTGCTGACAGTTCAGAGCCTGAAGCCTGCTTCGGATTCTGTGTCTTCCTCTCTCTCTCTGCTTCTCCCTGGCTCACGCTCTGTCTCTCTCCCTCTCTCAAAAATAAATAAACGCTAAAAAAACATTTTTTAAATTTGTCCAAGATATTGCTAGTGAGGGTGGAGAAGATCTGATTTTCTTTTAAGACTCCCCCCCCCCACCAGAGTCAGAACTACTTACAATTTGCTTGCATTGGTGGAAACAGAATCAATATATTTTTTAAAGAAGTCAGACAAAATATATCCAACTTTTCAGCAGTTTCAGTTTTTCTTCGGCGTTCTATTGTGACTTTTGTGAGCTGAGCAGACTTCTTGGGAGGTATATTAAAAGGTTTAATATTTGCAATATAAATCACATCCCTTGTAAATCACCGTGCACCACACATTATGTGCTTCCGGAATTTCTGCTAACCACGACTGCCATCTTGGAGCTTAACTACTTTGTCTGTTCGCAGTGTATGTTAGTTACAAAAATCCTCACCAGAAATATTACAGGGCTACCAAATGTTATATTTTTGTGTGTTTGCCCGTTTCACCGTACAGTGGTCTATTTTTCTGTCAGAGAAAGGCAAATGTTTATTTTCCCAACTTCCCCCGTTAAGCTCTTTATAGATTAGCACCCCGGGCAGCTGTCCAGGGGACCCGCCCCTCAATTCACTTTTGTGGGAGGAAAGGAAGACGGGATGGAGGAATCGCTGAGTCACAGGACGTGTGAGCTTAAAGACCTGGCATTGGGAAATCTGTAAAGTAGACTTTTGGGAGATTTTCCACATTTTAATGAGTGTATTACAAGCCACAGTCGAGTGCCCATTTTTATCGAATACTCGGTATGTAGATCTAGTTCAGGAGTCAACAAGTGAAGTGTGGCCCTTAGGCCGATCTGGCCAGCTGCTTGTTTTTGTAAATAAAGTTTTGTTGGCGCACAGCCACGCCCACTCATTTCCATATTGTCTATGCTGCTGTCGCAGAACACCAGCAGAACTGAGTAGCTCTGACAGAGGCCTACAGGGCTGCAAAGCTGAAATATTAACTGTGTGGTCCTTGAAGAACAATTTTCAACCTCTGATCTAATTCTCTAACATGGTAGAAATACGTTATTACTTGCTAAGTGCAGTTTCTTTGAATGATCAGTTCCCCGTGCTCCCTGTGCTTCCTCTGTGCTCCTTCTTCAGGACACATGTGACACTTGCAATTATTGTTTCACTGGACATTTTCATACCACAAGCTGCTTGGGGCACCTGTTGGATCTGAGTGTATCAGTTAGGAGCACATTTAACTGCAAGGAACAGAGCACTTTTAACTGTGGTTTAAACAACGAAGCTTTGAATGATCTCACCTAGTAAGAAACCTGGACGCATATGAGTCTAGGTTTGATATAGAGACCCCGGGATGGTGCAAACCATTGTGGCCCCACGCTGTGACTGTCCCCCTGTCCCTCCTGTGCTCAGCTTGCTGACCCTTGATATATATCACCCCCTGGTTGCAAGATTTTTTGTATCAACTCCAGGCATCACATGCCCCATTCCAAGTAGAAGAGAAGAGACATGAACACAAAACATTCTGAGAACCAATCACTGTCATCAGGGGAGAATGGAACGTGCTGACTGGCTCATGCCCTGGCTTTTCAGGGAGGAGGGGGGCTGCTTTCCAGAAATACACAGATTAAACAGGGAAGAGTTAGATACTGGTGTGGAAGTCGGGTTGTGTCCGAAAGGATGAATGGAACGAATGACGGAGGACCAACAGCAGTGCCCATTACAGCTATTAACCCCTGGACTTCTGAGTTGCGGGCAGTCGAAATTTTTCCTTTTGTCTCTAGGCCAGTTTGACTTCATGTTCTATCCTTTGTGAGCGAAGCATGCTTATCAATGGTGCTATTATTGTTGGGGATGGAAACAACGCACATCACCTTCTCTTCATGTTTCTCCATACCACTTTTCACCTCCTAATTGATGTATTAGAGACCGTAACTTCCTTTATTTTATCTTGCTCTTCTCCTTAGACAATAGGGTTCATGAGAGCAGGGTTTTGGATCCGTGTATCCCTGCCCCCAATATCTCTAAGGGTACTTGGGTACCTGCTCCATGATATGTGCTCAGCAAGTATTTTCTGAATGAATGAATGAATGAATGAGTGAGGGAGTGGACAGAATGAGGAAATAGTATCTTCCCATGTCAGAAAAGGAAGGGCCCTCAAAGATTGGCAGGGCCATTCTCTACAGAGCACTAGAACGCCAGGCTCCTGATAGAAATCCAGTGCGTTCTCTGTTCCTCCGTCCTGCCCCATGGCAATAGGAATTCACAACCTTTCACCAACCAGTTTCCGTCTCCATCAGGGGTACCACTTATTTTCCTCCGTTCACCTCTTTTATTCAAGTCCCTGAGTGTTTACATTCCTTGATGTGAAGCTTGCCTGTGTGTTCGAACTCCACTTCTTTTCATTTGCAACTAAATGAGGAAGGTACCCATGACCCTTTGCTGGATGACTTTACCCACTGAGGGACTTTGGGCTTTATCTTGGTTTTGTGCCTGCATCCTCTGCCTCCATTCCCGTCGTTCACCAGGTGCTTCTGGAGGTGTCTCTTCGATGTTCCCAAACCCTACCATGTGAGCCAGAGCTTATCTTCTTCTTATTCTAGATGGGAGCCTGTACCAGTGGTCTCCTGGGCTGGTTGGTTGGGAGAGGCTCACCTCTACAGTGGGAAAGGCTGGGTCTTAGACACTCAGTGGAGACATATCCAGGACCCTCGGATGTCCAGGTGGGCTGTCTTTTGAGAGTCCTCTCAGGTCAGAGACCAAGGGGACACTGGGCCTCTCAGGCACAGATGGCATCCAGGTGTGGCTTACTCAGCTGGGCTCCATCTTGAAACTCGTAATGAGTTCTCCAGCTGGAGTGGGTCACAGCCCTCGCATTCTCCTGCACCCCAGCAGAGGTGCTGAGGGTCTGGGTGGTTAAGTGGCGATGATATAACTACTTGGTGCTCCTCCTAAAAATGGTCCTGAAATCCTCTCCTCCGAGGGTATCGTGAACTGCTTTGTGCTGCGAAACCTCACGGGTCAGGATATTTAACTCAAACAAGTAGCTATCCAAACCATTGTGCACCACGAATTCACACATCAGCTGTGCATTCCAAAGTTGGATAACAGGAACTTTGAAGTCACATGGGTATTTGTTAAGAGTGCATTTTTCCATGTATGCAAATTTTTAAATTTGAAAACTCACTCTGCCACCTACTCATTGTGAAACCCTGAACAAGTTAATGAAACGAGTGGTTCTCAAATATGGCCCCCAGCAACAATAATATCACCCAGGGAACTCGTCACAATAAAAATCATTGGGTCTCCCCCCCATACCGCCCCAGACCTACTGAATCAGAGACCCTGGGGATGGGACCCAGCAAGATCTGTTTTAACAAGCCCTGCAGGGGTGATTCTGATGCACCCCGCAGTTTGAGAACCATTGGCTTAAAGGATCCAGTCGGAATTTCATTATATGTAAAACGGGAGGGATAATACTTGGCCCCAA